CCCCAGCAGGAGTTGGTGTCTGGGCTCCCCTGACTGACCCACAATCTCCTGCACAGTCACACCTCCAGGTTCAATCTGCTCTGTCCTGTATATAACTCAGCACCCAGAAGATGACCGTCATCCTCAGGACCCTGTTATTGGGGATCATTATTGAGGAATGGCTGTTCCTCGCCAGGGCTCCGGCAGCCGAAGACCTCCAGGACCAGCCACCACCATGCTGAGACCACTCTCCGCACACCTGAAGGTACTGGCAGAGGGACAAATCCACACGGATTCCGGGGCCGAGATCTCCCAGCCTACTCGGATCTCCCAGCCTACTCCCAGCATCCTCCATCCAGATCCTCCAAATTCCAGTAGGCGGGGGTCACACCCACCACCTGGCCCCCTGGCGCCGTGTAATCCCATCAATGGCCAAGACTCAGAGACTATAAAATCCAGCTCCCGGAACTGCGCGGCCGCAAATGCGGCCGCGCGACATCTTATCAAGACATCTTTTATGACATCTTATTATCTCATTCCTCCTACTTTGGACAAACTTGCAGGCTATTTAATGTAGCCCGCCCACAGGGCAGAGTCTGGCAAACTCCCCGTGGCATACCAAATATGCCAAATACCAGTAACAATGATGGGTCTCATTCTCCTAAAGAGCCTTGAATAATCTCAAGGTTAGGATGAAAGAGACGTTACTGGGGCCTGCTTGAGGCAATCGACGAATAACAGGATGATGAAATGAAATGAAAATTGAGGAATTCCAGCCCCATCAGTTGCCTGAAAATAGCTCGTTTAGAGTCCTTAGCACACAAACTATTGGGCCTGGAACCTGGTCTTAGTGCTCAGACTCACACATTTTATACGGGTACTAGTGTGCTAGCCCTGATTAATTCCAGGCGTGGCCTTCACCCCCTCCCAAATGCTTGGAACCTAGACACAGACTGTGTCATATACATAAACCCCCTAATTCCATGGAGAACCAGAGGATTGAGTTCGATCTACGGGGACAGAAAATATGCTCTGAAATTTGTTGTTGAAAAAGGCAGCATTAAGAATCAAAAATGACCTACATACTCAGCATGTTCTACAAAATTCTGCTAAGATAGACACAGAGACACACAAACACCAAGTCAGTCAACGTGAGGATTGAGATGGATGATGTCACACCTCTGGTACCAAGTGACTATAGGATTCACACACACTCTCGTATATAAGCACGTGACTCACTGTGTCTGTACCCAGGTGTCCTGTCCCAGAGCTACTGCAGGTCCAGGACAGTGAATCCCCACAGACCCGACCCACATGTGCTATCTCTGTACTATTCAAAGTCAGCAGTTTCCAGGGAGCTGGGCTCCCAGTCCTCAGCAAAGATGCTGGAGTGCCTGGGGAATGTTGGGAATATTTCCTAAAGCTGCTGCACCAAGACCAACAGGATACTTCCTTAAACTTAGGAAAGCTTGTTTTCAATAACCAAGGAACTGTAGAATAACAAGTTTTGTTTAATTTTCATCGTATTATATTAGGCATATTTTATTTCCTTAACCTTCTTGACTCATGTTGTTTGTGTTTTACTCCTTCAGATGTAGAATAAATAAAACATTCTAGTTGTATAATTAGTAATGTATTAGAAACAGCAAAAGACATAAATTATAAAGGAAAAAAACCAGGAACAATCATTTTTATTTTATCATTGTTAGAAAAGTCCCATGTAACAGAAACTTTAAAATTTTGTTTTTCACAGAAACTTGGACAGAATAAAATGAATTGGAGCGTTTTTGCACACGTTAGTTTTCCCTTACCACTAGCATGACACCTGAGCACTACAGGGGAGACCAGGACACAGAGAGGAAGTAAACACAGAATACTTCCAGGTATGACCCCAAAATTAAAGAAAAAACAGATTATCCATATTTGGATAGTACAGTTTTTCATAAAGGCCCTCCCGTTGATCATCGATTTGCTCGAGCGGACCCAGTAAGGTCTCCATTGGAGACTTTGTTGTTACTGTGTCTGGCATATCGAATACGTCACGGGGAGCTTGAGAGGCTCTGCCGTGCAGGCAAAATACTCTCGGTAGCTTGCCGGGCTCTCCGAGAGGGGCGGAGGAATTGAACTCGGGTCGGCCATGTTGGCTGTGTGCAAGGCAAACGCCCTACCGCTCTGCTATCGCTCCAGCCCATAATGATTACATAATCATTATGTAATCATTATGTATCCATTAGTTTTATTCTAAACTAGCCATTTGCACTGCTTTGCAAATGGAGAAGATTATCCATGACTTCTACTCAAATCTCTTCGATAGCCATGTCCACTTGCCGACATACCAAATTGCACAGGATGGGTATGTCGTTCCCAACGTTCTCCCTTCCGAAATCCGACACGCCATTTCGTCAGTAAAGAAGCAAAGAGCACCCGGCCCAGACAAGGTCAGACCTGAACACCTGAAGAACCTGCTGTCAGTACTCATCAATACACTGGCTCGGCTCTTCACTCGCTACCTGTCTGAATGCAAGGTTCCATCTCAATGGAAAACCAGCAGGACCGTACTACTGTTCAAGAAGGGAGACATCCATGACATTGGCAACTATCGCCCGATCTGCCTATTGTCTGTCATCTACAAGTTGTTCACTCGAGTCATCCTGAATAGGATTGGCAGAACACTAGATGAAGGACAACCATGTGAGCAAGCAGGGTTCCGCAAAGGATTCAGCACCATCGACCATATACACACGATAACCAAACTCATTGAGGTTTCTCGGGAGTTCAAGATGCCGCTCTGCTTAACGTTCATTGATTTAAAGAAGGCCTTTGATTCTGTTGAGACGGAAGCGGTCATTGAAGCCCTAGCCAATCAGGGCATTCAAGCCCAATACATCAGGATCCTCCGTGAGCTGTATTGCGGATTCACTACCAGGATCTCACCATTCTACAAAGAAGTGATTGTTGATGTCAAGAGAGGGGTGCGGCAGGGTGATACCATTTCACCAAAACTCTTCAGTGCCACCCTCGAGAACATCATGCGACGACTGGAATGGGAAGGAATGGGAGTGAAGATAGATGGTCGGCAACTACACCACCTCCGCTTTGCTGATGACATTGTTTTAATAACACCAAACATCAGCCAAGCGGCACAAATGCTGGCCGACTTTGACCGTGAGTGTGGAAAGGTAGGACTACAGCTGAATCTTACGAAGACAATGTTTATGAGAAACAGCCTTGTTCCTGACGCCCCATTCGCTCTCAATGGAACGACCATCTCCGAATGCAACAGCTATGTGTACCTAGGTCGAGAGGTCAACATGACAAATGACCTGGCACCCGAGCTGCGCAGGAGGAAGAGAGCGGCTTGGAACGCCTTCAAGAACGTCGAAGAAATAGCTAAGAGGACGAAGAACCTCCGGCTCTGGGCACATCTCTTTGATTCCACTGTTCTTCCTGCATTAACATATGCCTCAGAGACCTGGGCCCTACGCAAACAAGATGAGAACGCCATTCAGGTCTCCCAAAGAAGAATAGAAAGAGCTATGCTTGGAATATCACGTTTCACTCAAATGAGAGAACGAATCCGGAGTTCTGACATCCGTCGACGATCAAGGATCAGGGACGCTGTCTCATTTGCCAAGGTGTCGAAAATCAGATGGGCTGGTCACGTAATGAGATTTAAAGACGACCGTTGGACTAGAGCTGTTACTGATTGGATTCCACGGGATGTCAAGAGACCGCGTGGCCGCCCACCTACCAGATGGTCAGACTTCTTTGTCAAGGTCATGAACGATCGGTTTGAGGCCCTCCATGTTCCCGGAGCGAAGAGATGCCATTGGGCTACACTAGCACGCGACAGGGACAAATGGAGACGTTACTGGCGCCCGCTCGAGCAAATCGACGAATAACGGGAAGTTAAGTGATTTAAGTGATTAGCCATTTGCAATCATGACTGATAGTGTTGTTTCTAATCAGAAATATACCTTCAACATTACTCTTTATTATTGATATTGAACCTTTAAAACTCAGTTCACTAAGTGAAGAATTAATGGTGCACTTGTGATTTTAAAGAAGTGACTTTGTAAGTTTACCAGAAAAAGAATATTGCTTCGGGGGTTCAGCATGTGAGAGGAGAGAGGAAAGTAGATTATAATCCCAAGTTTCTCTGTCTCGGGAGGACAGACCGCAAACTGAGGTTGATGCACAATGAGAAATTCAGTAAAAGTCACATCTGCAATGGTCTCCATATGGGGCCTCAGCATAAGGAAGGTCCCTGGGCTCTGAGGTGTGGTATATCAGGGGGTACCAGGAGAGTGGGGCCTCAGGGAGAACAACAATGTTCTGGGTCCTGCCTCTTGTCTCACTGTGAAGGGGTCAGCAAAGTTCATGTCACAGGACCTGGTCTCTCCTCTACAAGAGGTGAGGGGCAGAGAGGGAATGGGGAAATATGAATGTGCATTTAGTGAGTGGGTGAGGGATGGGAGGTCAGCCCATCCCAGAGAGCAGGACTTTCAGGTGTGGGTGACAAAGTAGAGATTAACTGGGTGCAGGTAAGAGGGCACAGAGTGTGTGTGTGTGTGAGAGCAGAAGGAAGTTGCCAGAACACAGCTGAGTGGACTCCAGGATTTCACTTTCTGATAAAGTAACCCTTACCATGAGACCACGATAATCTCTGTAGGGTCAGAGGTTAATTTTGACAAGAGAATCATATGCCCCGCAAGCCCCAGAAAAGTCATGGTTCCACTAGTGAAAACTTAGATGAGAAAGAGTGAGGCAAACTCCTTCCCACCCACAGAGGGGATAGAGAACTCAGAGTCAAAACCCACAGAACAAGGTGCCCTTGGAGTCATCTGAGAGCTGAGTGGCAGGTTAGGCCCGATCTCCTCAGAAACATGATTCATCTGGTCATGAGCAACGTTTCCTCAAGGAAGAGTCCTCAGAGCCTCCTGGGGGCTTTCACCCCTGAAGCTCACCCTGATTCCTCCTGCAGGTGGTTTGTGTCTGGGCCCACAGGGCCTTCCTCTCACTGTAACTCTCGCACAGTAGTACAGGGCCGTGTCGTCCTTCCTCAGGGGGCTCATTTGCAGAGAGAGTGTGTTCTTGTTGTTGTCTCTGGAGATGGTGAATCGGCCCTTCACAGAGTCGGCATAGTATGTACTACCACCAGCACTAATGTATGAGACCCACTCTAGGCCCTTCCCTGGAGCCTGGCAGACCCAGCTCATATAAGAGCTGCCAACATTGAATCCAGAGGCTGCACAGGAGACTGTCAGGGACTCTCCGGGCTGCACCAAGTCTCCCCCAGACTCTACCAGCTGCACCTCACACTGGACCCCTGCAAACACAAAGACATCCTGTCAGAAAACTCTCCTCACACAGAGGATCTGCCTCTCCCATCTCTACCATGCTCCGTGTCTTTGTCACCTGTGAGTTACCTCCTTACACAGCCACCAGGAGAAGCCAGCTCAGTCCACACACCATGTTGGTTCTGTGTGAATCAGGATGGAGCCCCTGGGAACCCCTGAACTGATTCCTCTCCTGGAGCTGAGGCTGGCGTGGCCTGTTTTCATCATAGCATGGAAAGGACAATTTGCATATTCTCCTCCTACATAAGTTCTATTTGAACCTAAAGAGTAAGAGAAGGACTCCAGAGTAAGTGTCAGGCTCCGGGGGTGACTTGTGACCTGGAAAAGATTCTGTCATGCAATTATTATATGACAACAAATTTAATTTGAGATATTTTGTCCTTATTTTTGATGACTATCATGTAATATCTATAGTCATACTTCTGTTTTATGCACCATTTGTAACTTAAAAACTTAAATACTTTATACCATAATCTCATAACACATTGTAATAGTTGGCCCCATTATTGAGACAAAAGTAATCCACTGAATGACACCAAGTTATGAATGAGTTGGGAACCCAGAATTGAAACAAAATAAGTAGTAAGGCAGAAAGGCCAGACAGCATAGCCCTGATATCTGGGAAACCTGAGGCAGGATCCTGTGTCTGCTCTGTCTCTGCTGTTTCTCCCAGAGGAAACATCTCTGAAGTTAAAGATGTTTGTACTGATATCAAAGGCCCTCGGATGTGTAAAAGCTTACCTCAGATAGACTAAGTCAGGCAGCTGATCTAAGAATGTCGTTCTTCTGATGATTCCTGGTTCTAAGTGAAAACTCTCACTGGGCATTAGGAGCTAAGAATGTCGTTCTTCTGATGATTCCTAGTTCTAAGTGAAAACTCTCACTGGGGCATTAGGAGCTCTCGGTCCACAAGCTTGTTTGTCCCTTGACTCCCCACTCCTTGTCTCTTAAGTCTCTCTTTAAAATACTCACAGCATCCCTGGTTTGTCCCTGTTCATCAGGATTGGTCCCCAGTAACAAGAGATGTAGAGGCAGCAGAGGTGTTAGCTTCTTCCCTTGCATTGGGTGATCAAGGTTCATTCCTTGCACTTCGTATGTTTTCCCATGCCCCACCAGGCTTGATTCCTGAATACAAAGCCAGCAGTATAACCGGAGTGGCACAACAACGAATCCAAACCAACAGAGATTGAAGGATAGCACAGTGGTGGGGCACTTGCCTTGCACATGGCTGACCCAGATTTGAACTCTAGTATGCCATATGCTTCTCCCAGGAATTTCTAGAGTAATTGCTGAGTGCTGAGTCAGGAGTAATCCCAGAGAAATGCCAGATATATCCTCAAAACCAAACAAAAACAAATAATACCCAACGAAATATCGCTAGTGTCTGTCAAGAACTTCGTCCCTGTAATGAGTACAAATTGTATTCATTCTGAATTTTGCCTTTACCTGGAGGATGTTGGAGACTAGTGTGCATGGAGGTGCATGGGGTGTGACTCTTCACATCAGCCTGACCCCACGTCTCCTTCTTACCATGTCAATATTTGATTAGCAGTAGAAACCACAGGAGGTGATGCCCTGCACAGAATACTGATTATAGATCATTAATGTTTCATGAGCACTGGCATATATGGATACTTGTGCAGTGACCATCATACCCCAAACAGTGGATGAACCCCTCACCCAGTGTTTCCCCTTGGCCCATGGTATTCCTTCCGCTATGCCTCACCCCTCCCTCATGCTCTCTGCAGTGCTTCCTGTTTGTGTAAGTGTATGTAGGATGTGATGAAGGAGACTCACTCTGAAAAGCCTTCCACTCTAGGGATATATTATGGGATTTTACTCATTACTAAAGGAGTCTTGGACTACTCTCAGTCCTGGACCTTTAAACATAGGTCACAGGAGCTTTCTAGGAAGGAGAAAAATGAGGAAAAGCTGTTCTGTATCTTACATGAATGTCAAAGAGAAAGCTGTACAAATAATAACAAGCAGTAAAGTACCGATTTATACTCACCCTGCCAGGCGTTGGAGTCCCTGGGGCCTGGTGGGGGTGAGTATTGGGGACAGGGAGGACAGATCACAGGGAAGGGTTTGGGAGGGTGAGGGTGTCACTGAGAGTGGAGCTGCTCTGTGAGTAACGGGGAAGGGTCCTAGGAAAGATGCTGGAACTGGGCATGGATGAGAGTGGGTGGGGTCATGAATAGGAGTGGGTGGGGGTGATGGGGGCTGAGTGTCTCTGTGTTGAGACAGAATATTGGCCTATGTGGGTTTCTAGCACATGGTGACCCTCTTTGCCCCTGGTGGGGCTGAGGCCTTTCCCAGGTGGCTCCCGACTGCCCTCTGGTGGTGCCCTTGCAACCCCTCCCATGTCCCCCCAGGAATTGGTGTCTGGGCTCCCCTGACTGACCCACAGTCCCCTGAACAGTCACATCCCCACAGGTCACCTGCTCTCAGGCTGCTCCCCTGAAGGCAAGTCACAGGGTTCCTGGGTCTCTGCGGACAGTGAATCAGCCCCTCCCAGAGAGTCAGGGGTTGATTGTCCTGCTACAGTCCTGCTCTTTCCCGGGGCATTGTGACCAGGTCATCCAGGAGCTGCTGACTAGAGTCTGCACAGAGGAGACTTCGTCTCTGTATCTGTCTATGTTTCTGTCTCTTCTTCTCTCTCTCCTTTCTCTGTCTCTCTCTGTCTCTCTGTCTCTGTCTCTCTCTGTCTCTCTCTCTGTCTCTCTGTCTCTGTCTCTCTGTCTCTCTCTCTGTCTCTGTCTGTCTCTCTCTCTCTCTCTCTCTCTCTCTCTCTCTCTCTCTCTCTCCAGGTTAAGCCTTCAGTGATTATATCTTGCTAATTGAGATCGGAGTCTTCCACATTACATCCCACCCAATGTCCAACTGGCTGTGCTACTCCTGTTTTATCGAGTTGTAATGTTTTTGATATGTCGCTCCAGGAAATGCAGAGTTTTTAACAGGGTAACATCACTGTCACTGTCACTGTCCTCCCCATTGTTCATTGATTTGCTCGAGCGGGCCCAGTAACATCTCCAGTGTGAGACTTGTTGTTATTGTGTTTGGCACATCGAATAAGTCACAGGGAGCTTGCCAGGCTTTGCCGTGCCAGCAAGATGAACTGAACCCGGCTCAGCCAATCTGGCTGCGTGCAAATCAAACAGCCTACCACTGTGCTATCGCTCCAGTGCACGGGGTACCATAGCTGAAGTTAAATCTTTAACTGGTGGTGGCTTTGGGGCATGTGCGTGTTGTTAAAAAAAAAAAAGACAAAATAGCAGCATTTTCTGCACCATAGATGGTACTAGAGAATATAAGATTAAGTGAAATTTGTCAGAGGGAGAAGGACAAATTCAGACAATCTCATTCAACTGTGGTACACAGAGAACCGAACATCAGCGAGCATCAGCATGGGCAGGATGCAATGATAACGGCCCCTGCATCTAACCAGTCTAGGGGTCCCGAGAGAAGTCTGGTGGGGGCTTAGATCACTGGGAAAAAGAGACCGAGCACAGGGGCCACAGCAGAGTGTGGAGGTCTGTGGGGATTTGGTGCTGGGAGAAGCGCAGGGAGTTTGTGACTCACAAGTATCAACACTCAGACAACTGTCATCGTGTTTCCTGAGTGACAATGAAGGGTAGAGTGGGAGAAGTCTCTTCTTTCTGTATACAGGAATGATCTTTATTTGAAGAAAAATCAACCTCGCCTGACCTAGCAGGACAGACAGTCTCTAGTGGACTCTGAGACAAGAAGAGAAAAACGCTAATTTATATTAGAAGAGAAAGTAATAGCTAAAATGTATATACTTGTTTTTTTTAAGTTAGTAAAAATATAATAAAGAGGAAAATGGAATCCCCAAAAGAAGAAATATATGTAAAAAACAAATGAAAAGGAAAAAAAAAAGAAAGTGACTTCTTACTAGCTCTTCTCCCTCTGTCCCAGTGACAGCCTTGGATCACCTGGAGCATAGCGACCCCTGGTGGTCACACGCACCGCTGCAGCTCCCCCATCTCCCTCTGCAGGTTTTTGTCTGTGCTCACAGGGATTTGCCCTCACTGTGTGTTTCTTTTGCACAATAATACATGGCTGTGTCCTCACTTACTGAGTTGCTCAGTTTTAGGTAAACTTGGTTCTTGGAGATGTCCCTGGAGATGCTGAGTCGGGACTGAAGACTTGGCTTATAGTATGTTCTTCCATCATAACCTATAGCACCAACCCAATCCAGACCGTTTCCAGGGGTCTGGCGGATCCAGTTCACATCATAGTCGCTTAGAGAGAATCCAGAGACCGAGCAGGTGAGGGACAGCGTCTGAGAGGGTGTCACCAGGCTTGGTCCCGACTCCTGCAGCTGTACCTGGGACAGGACACCTGGGACAGAGACCGACAGTGAGTCACTCGCTAAGAGACCCCATGCCCACCTTGGAACCTCTGTCCAAGGGATACTCACATCCAGTAGCTGCCACCAGAAATAGGAGGAACAAGCGCTGATGCACATTCCTGCCCACGGGGTCCATGATCTCAGATACTGTGTCAGGAGGAGAGGGATCCCGAGTGGGGTGAGTGTGAACGTGGTTTTAATCCTGGGTCCCAAATGCAGATTTGCATAGGGGAACCACTGTAGAGAAAGGAGGGGACCTAGGGGAGGCTTGGTGTGCTGCCTGTGTCTCAGAGCATTCAGGCCTGTCCCTGGGGCCCTGTGAGAGCCAGCCTCTTCCTCCAGCACAGGAAACGTGCTGAGGAGCTCTCAGGAAACAGGAATTTCTGAGGGGGAAACGGCAATTGGGGAGGAGAGTCCCCGTGTCTCAGGTCCCTGATGAGCAAACCCATCCCTCCCAGCTCCTCTATCCTGTAGTCAGGGCCCTTTCCCTCCATGTCCCTCAGTGGTGAGTCATGTTCTCCCACTGCACATGGAAAACCTGGGACCAAATAGGCAGTGTAACTGTAACAGGAAATTCAGATTTGGGTCCGTCCA